CTCTTAATTCAGACCGAAACCATAGAATATCTGTTTACATCTTCACAGCCCAGTTGCAGTCTATAATGGGTCTATCATTACAGCTTATAGTAATTTTCTTTACTACAAGGAATTAATTAAGTAACAGAAAGTAGGAGAAGTCAATAAGTCAGTCACACATGGTTGTTTAAAAAGAACTAAAGACTATAACAACTTGAAAACTGTTTATTTTTACACACACACTGTCCCTTTTCAACATAATTTCCACCAACATTGATGCACTTGTCCCATCGTTTTATCATTCCTCCCAAACCGGCTGCATAGAACTGCGTGCTGTGTTTTCAAAACCACACACATTGTCTCCAGCCAAGGTGGGTTTTCAGTGGATCAAAAAGGTGAAAATTAATAGGGGCTAAGTTGGAGCTGTAAGGTGGATGTGCCAGAAGCTCTAACCGTAGATCGTTAATTTTCTTCTGAATTAACCGAACCGTATGTGGTCTGGCATTGTCATAAAGGAGCAGTACTCCTCTAGTCAGCAGGCCTGGAAATTTTCTTTAAACTGCTTCATGAAGCATCGATAGAACTTAACAATATGAATCAGTATTCACATTGTAACCTCTTTTTTTTTTTTTAAAATTGGTTAAAAGCACTCCTTGATGTTCCCAGAAAACTGTCAGCATAATCAACCCTGCTGATGTCGTAATCTTGATTTTTTTTTTAAACACAAGGAAAAGAAGGATGTTTTTATTACATTGAACATGCTTTGATTCGGGCTGTTAGTGATGCACCGATGATTTGTCCCCAGTAATAATCTTGTTGAGCATGTCTTCTCCTTCATCTACCTATCGACAGAGATGCTGCAAGGACAGCCCTAATCAGTTAATTTTCTTCTTCTTCTTCTTTGCGTTCACCAGCTGTAAACTCTGGCGGAAGGTTGTGGTTGCTCATCCACTACTGAACTGCAGTCCTGCTCCAGAACCTGAGTGTTGCGTGTGCATCAGTTTTACAGATCTCATTCTCTTGAATACAGACTGTTGGTTCCTTGCCTCTCTGGCAGATGCACTCCGACTTCAAAGGAAGCTCCCCAATTAGTCGACTCTAATGACATGCTTTTGGGAAGGCAGTGGGTCTATTCTTGTTTTCCCTACAATGGGGCCCCGGAACCCACACGGGGGGGGGGGGGGGGGGTAATTTTGTGTTCACCTGTCAATTCTCTGGGTACCCATTTTGAGCAGACGCAGACTTTCTTAGATTTCAGTCAATCAAGCAATACATTGTATGCTGAACCATGTGAGCACCCTATTGCAGCTGCTACAGAGTCAACCGTTACCCCCCTGACACCTCTAATCATCTCCTCCACATACTGCATGGACGTGTCTGTTGCAGTCTCAACAAGGTGAACAGGTCGGACATTATCAGCAATTTTAGAGCACCCTTGAGAAAAATTTTTTTTTTACCCAGCTATGCGCCACTTTACGGGATGAACATTTGTTACCATAAACATGAAGCATTTCCTTGTGAATGCGTTTGCACGGAGGCCCCCAGAAAAGGAAAACAGCACTTTGTTCTTTGAGACAACACTCCATAAGTACAGTCGCATTTTCTTTCTGTGTTGTGAATGCACATGCAACGCCTAGTGCCACCTAATGAACCGAGACATAAAGTTCGATGTTGCTTTCACCTAATGACACCTTTAGAAACCACCAACTACATTTTCCTGCCATCCCATTACCATTTGTGACATACTTATTGACTTCCACTTGTAATTAACTTTGTATGGCTATTTTGAATGATGCTTTATAAATATCATTTCTCATTACTTTCAGTTATCCGAGAAGAGGAAGCTGACCCAGAAGCCAAAGCTAAATGCTGTTACAATTAAATATTTGTGATGCAGCTTTTTAGAAAACTTGTTTGTTATGAGTGGAATAGATGATGCTTGTTTATTTCTTGGGGGGGGTGGGGGGACACAGTTGAAATAAAGCTTAGCTTCTACAGCTGATGTGTGTGTGTTTGTCGTCTAGATACACCTGTTATAAATTGTATTTCAGACAGTATGGCTTGTTTATTTTATACCCTTGTAGGCTTTGAGAATGGTTGATGGGTATAATTGTACTTATTTTGCAGGTTGTCAATAAATACCAGTATTTCAAATCTTAATTGTAATGTATTGTTTTGTTTACAGCAACATGTTCCTAGCTAGTTTTGAGACTTTTAAATACTTTGAAGAATATTTCAACCTCTTGGAAATTCAAGAAAGAAATTAATATATAAATCTCACACAGTACATCCAGGTTAAACAACTATGGCAGTTCACAGCAATATTTTCCTGTAATGAATTTAAATAATGCGGGCACAAACAGTACATAACACAGTTTATTGCCAGGCATATTTCACTGTATCTAGTCAGATGTTTTTACTACAGAGTTGAGTTTACAGAGTTAAGTTTACTGTGTGAAGATGCATGTTACTACATAGTTAATTGGAATTTGTTCAGTTTCTGTGCTTCATTATGTGTTGATATAACTCTGTAGTAATGCACCTGTCAGCCTGGCTCTCTAGTGTAGTTGGCTAAACCAGATTGCGCAGTGACCTGGTGATGAACTTCTTGTGGTCCGGGTTCACTCCCAGGGGTAGGCAGAAAAGCCACATTTCTCCCAGATTTACGGTATTTACAATGGAATCAAGGCCGAAAGGTTGCGATTTCCATAATAACGAGCCTAAGGGTTAATAACAAACAAAAGAATGCACCTGTCGAGGTACAGCAAAATATGCCTGGCAAGAAATTGTGCAGTATACTGTTTGCATTATTTAAACCATGTTTGTATTAAAGATGGATAAAGTGTGGAACTATATCTGTTGTGTGATCAGGGTTGTAGCCAAGAACAGTGCGACTAGTGTTGTTCACAAGAAGGTATCTAAACTAATCTTCCTCATTTTAGTAGTCCTGACTACAAGGGCAAAACCAGTATCTCTATCACTGCCATAAAATCTTGCTGTGGGGATCAATCAGTTGCCATCTGTACAGTGAGGATTGGCTTCAGAGGATCTCAATATTCTCTGTCTCTCGTTTGATTGTACCGTATTTCAAACCGCCATTCATCCATCTCTTGATGTTGTTTTCTTATTTGTATCGCTGTCTACTTCTTGCTCCCTTGCTTTGACTTTTCTCTCCAGTATGGTGTTTTAGTGTAGCCAAAATATTTCCTTGTCTCATTTTTATTTCTTTAAGTAACTCTCATTCATTCCCAGCCTCTGCCTAATCCTGTATTTGATTGTTGTTGTCTCTAGGATGTACGACATTTTCTTCTATATATCCACCTCTCTAGAGACTCAGTTCACTTATTTAGTTGCTGAGTGCAGTAAGAATCTTCCTTTTTTTCTTAGCATTCACCCACTGCAAACTCTGGCGGTAAGTTGAGGTTGTTCGTCCACATCTAGACTGGTTTTTTTTTTTCAAGAACTTGAGTTTTGCGTGCTTATTCGTTTTACAGATCAGGCTTATTTGTATGCAGACTGTTGGTTGCATGCCTTGCCTTTCAGGCAAATGCATTCTAAAGTAAACACCCATCATTAGTTGCCTCTTACGACATGCTTTTTAGAGAGCAGTGTGTATCCCCGACCCCCTTTTTTCCCCCATGAGGTATTAGAAATCAGTGTTCAACTCACCATCAACAATCTAGCATGAGAATGGAGGTGGAGGCGGTAACGCAGCTCCCCGGTGGCTTGAGAACAAAATGCATACACATGTCATAACTGTAAAAGACTCTGAAAGCATGCTGAAAAAGGTGAAGACAGGGATGCTTTGAGCAGAGTGGCAAGCTTCACTGGAATGGTCACGATGGCAGCGTGGTGGGTAATGAAAAGCAGACAGATTGGCTGGATCTGCACCACTGGGTGGTGAATTGATACATGACAAGGCAGATGTGGTCAAGGCTCTTTGGGAACAAGCAACAGAATCAGTAGAGAAAGAAAATTAATATGACCTGGAGAGAATGAGGCACCTGGGTGTAACCATAGGGTCTGGCCGGCTCACTACACTCAGAGGAAAGGCTAGGCGGACATTTAACCAGATTGTGACCTGTACCATCAGTATTGGAACTCTGTGCTGGCTGCTGAAGATAAGGACGGAGCATGCATGGGAATGCCCCAAGTGCTGTGATGTTAATTCTTGACTCAACTCAACTCGCCTTCAACAAAATATTATTAATCCCATTTCATCTTTTATTATTATTACTATTATTATTTTTTGATTACTTCCTTTTTGTTTTGTTTCACAATAGTCATTTTCCTACTTTCCATATCTCTGTTTCTTCAGGTGACTCTTTGTTTGGGGTTGGTGTCTAGGATTATTAGACTTTTGTTATTTCTTGATCAAGACTCTAGTCTAAACATTCTATTGTACATTATGTATTTTCCCCTTCGTTGAGCTTACTAAGCATATTTGTGTTTATTAATTCATTTCCTAGTAGTCCCTGTGTGAGTTCTGGGGCCTTTCCCTATATTTCCTGTGTGGGTTCTGGGGCCTTTCCCCATATTTCCTGTGTGGCTTCTTGGGCCTTTCCCTATATTTCCTGTGTGGGTTCTGGGGCCTTTCCCTATATTTCCTGTGTGGATTCTGGGGCCTTTCCCTATATTTCCTGTGTGGGTTCTGGGGCCTTTCCCTATATTTCCTGTGTGGGTTCTGGGGCCTTTCCCCATATTTCCTGTGTGGCTTCTGGGGCCTTTCCCCATATTTCCTGTGTGGCTTCTGGGGCCTTTCCCTATATTTCCTGTGTGGATTCTGGGGCCTTTCCCCATATTTCCTGTGTGGCTTCTGGGGCCTTTCCCCATATTTCCTGTGTGGGTTCTGGGGCCTTTCCCTATATTTCCTGTGTGGATTCTGGGGCCTTTCCCTATATTTCCTGTGTGGGTTCTGGGGCCTTTCCCCATATTTCCTGTGTGGCTTCTGAGGCCTTTCCCTATATTTCCTGTGTGGGTTCTGGGGCCTTTCCCTATATTTCCTGTGTGAGTTCTGGGGCCTTTCCCTATATTTCCTGTGTGGGTTCTGGGGCCTTTCCCCATATTTCCTGTGTGGCTTCTGGGGCCTTTCCCCATATTTCCTGTGTGAGTTCTGGGGCCTTTCCCTATATTTCCTGTGTGGGTTCTGGGGCCTTTCCCTATATTTCCTGTGTGGGTTCTGGGGCCTTTCCCTATATTTCCTGTGTGGGTTCTGGGGCCTTTCCCCATATTTCCTGTGTGGCTTCTGGGGCCTTTCCCTATATTTCCTGTGTGAGTTCTGGGGCCTTTCCCTATATTTCCTGTGTGGGTTCTGGGGCCTTTCCCTATATTTCCTGTGTGGGTTCTGGGGCCTTTCCCTATATTTCCTGTGTGGGTTCTGGGGCCTTTCCCTATATTTCCTGTGTGAGTTCTGGGGCCTTTCCCTATATTTCCTGTGTGGGTTCTGGGGCCTTTCCCTATATTTCCTGTGTGGGTTCTGGGGCCTTTCCCTATATTTCCTGTGTGGGTTCTGGGGCCTTTCCCCAAATTTCCTGTGTGGGTTCTGGGGTCTTTCCCTATATTTCCTGTGTGGGTTCTGGGGCCTTTCCCTATATTTCCTGTGTGAGTTCTGGGGCCTTTCCCTATATTTCCTGTGTGGGTTCTGGGGCCTTTCCCCATATTTCCTGTGTGGGTTCTGGGGCCTTTCCCCATATTTCCTGTGTGGGTTCTGGGGCCTTTCCCTATATTTCCTGTGTGGGTTCTGGGGCCTTTCCCTATATTTCCTGTGTGGGTTCTGGGGCCTTTCCCTATATTTCCTGTGTGAGTTCTGGGGCCTTTCCCTATATTTCCTGTGTGGGTTCTGGGGCCTTTCCCTATATTTCCTGTGTGGGTTCTGGGGCCTTTCCCTATATTTTCTGTGTGGGTTCTGGGGCCTTTCCCTATATTTCCTGTGTGGGTTCTGGGGCCTTTCCCTATATTTCCTGTGTGGGTTCTGGGGCCTTTCCCTATATTTCCTGTGTGGGTTCTGGGGCACTATGATCGCACTGAGCTGCAAACAGCAGCCATGTTCTTAAATACTGCAAGGGTCAGTGTGTGTGTTTATATATTAATAAATGACTCCCATTTTGTAGAAATGAAGCTTTTGCTTGCATAAAGTTCTTTTTCTGGAAACATAAGGAAAAAGTAGTTAGACGTAAAAACACGCCAGAAAGACAAATTAGACATATGATTAATATAGGGGAGGCTTGTTGTTCTTTTCTGAACTCCGGTGGAAAGTCCTGGTTGTTCATCCACTTCTGGACTTTGTTCTAGTTTCAGAGTTTGAGTGATGAAACTACAGGAAATCGCAACAGATAAAACAGCTGAACTTGGCATAATTGAACCGTACCCAGTAATATTTGCCACGTCAGCTAGAGTTCATACAAAGTTGGGGGCTGCGTGGTCTCGAGGCATGACGTCTGCCTCTCGAGTGCTAGAGATCCCAGGTTCAAGCCCTGTGGAGGCTGGGATTTTTCACGTGGACTTCTAGTAATTTCCCCTGGTCTCTGGGTAGTATGATCAGACGCCCGTGTGTATTGTTGCGCACGTAAGAAATCCCTTGACCGTTGGAAATTGAAAAGAGTACCCCAACAGCGCTGCCCGGGCAAAATTTGAAGTTAAAAATCTTCCCAAAGTATTTCAAGATCCTTGCCGATGCTGCGGAGTTCGTTGCACTGCGCTGATATTTTTCGGACTTGGTCTTGAGTCGGAAATAGATCGGAGCACTTATGGGTTACTACCCTTGTGCCATGATGTTGATCCGTCGTCTAAACCTCATATAAGGTTAGCTGCTCTGTCTACGCTTAGCTAGTCAGAGAGGGCTTTCTGTAGGGGATCACAATAAGACTTCCATGATTCTGTTGTGACTGAGTCAAGACTGCGCCTGTCTCTTACATCAAAATTTGTCTGTTTTGTCTTCTATTTACCCGCAGACTAAGTAACAAATAGAGCCAACCAGGTCCTTATAAATGACAAACACTTTCCACAAGGCCTCGCGGTTAGTTGTGAAACTTTCCTATATCATTGCCACGCCAGTTTTGTATCGATCTTTTTAATGACTCATGTACATGCTGACGTATAAAATAAATATAAGCTCCTAAACATGGGCTGCTATATAATTTTGTCACATTCCATTTGCGCAGAAATCAATGAGTAAAATTGTGTCCTAATGATGCGGGCTCTTAACTCTGTCGTTCACATTTATTTGCAAGTCAGCGCACAAATGAAAAAAAAAAAGGCTAGGGAGTGGTGTTAAAAGTGCGAGGGAGTCTTGAGTTCAAGAACGCCAGAAGTTGAAACGCACGATGGATTTTTCTCGTCATAATCGGTTATAAACTTCTACAGAAAATGCAGTTTGTTCGTCACTAAACTCCGGCGGAAATTCTGGTTGTTCATCTACTTCTGGATTTTGGTCCAGTTCCAGAATGTGGGTGGTGTAAAGCGATCCGTTTTTACAGATCTGACTTATTTGTGGGAAAAATGTTAAGTAATAAGTAACACGGTCAGCTCCAGACATATCCGGAGCTGGCCGTGGTAAGTAAGATGTACCCCACCAGGGCATCACACAGATCGATAAACACCCAGTGCAATGGTGAGACGGACACACCGATGGGTCCGCAGACCGACATGTACAAAGTTCATGGGCTTTCACAGTTTTGGTTCATGGTTGAGTCAAGAATTGACATCACAGCACTCGGGGCATTCCCATGCGTGCTCCGTCCTCATCTTCAGCAGCCAGCGCAAGATTCCAATACTGATGGTACCGGTCACAATCTGGTTATATGTCCGTCTTGCCTTTCCTCTGAGTGTAGTGAGCCGGCCAGACCCTCTGGTTTAGGGTAGAACAGACAAAGAAGATAGCAATGCTTTTGCCTCGACTACAAGCCTGATTATGGAGGTGATGGCGGTAACAAAAGCAATCATGTGGCTAGAGACGGTATTTTCCCCATACGTGTTAAATTATTCCACTGGCATGCTTAAGTGATAGAGACAGGGTGGAGTCACTGAGGAAGTCGCGTCTGCCAAGAATCAGTTTAATTGTTGTAGCAGAGCACTCGCGGGTAATTTTTTCCTTTTCCTGCTGTCTTTTGTGTTCTTATGTCTTTCTACTTCTTTTTATGAGTGCCAATCAATACATTCTCTGTGTGTTTATTACATGTAATGTTTATGCCCTTGAACTTCGGGCAAAGTTACAGAAATGTTCCGCAATGCCGTTGATATCGCGTATTGTATATTTCAGCACGCCAGAGCTTTTAACACTCCAAAAACATGGAGAAACTGGGTCTAACACAACCCCTCTAGAGAGTGCTGCAACCTATGTCACAGGCATTCTCTTTCTCGGAATTAAAACGTAAATGCAAAACATCGCAGAAATCAAACAACAAAGCGGGACACACCAATAATCTTCAGGAAAGTCGACCAGCCCAACAAACTTGTGAATGAAAAGTGACCTACGACTAACGTCGAACTAACACACACACACATAAATATATTAATGGCCGACAAACCGGGCAGATCCCGGATACCCCGTTCAACCTCCAAAGAAATTTAAATTAGGGCACGTATAACGGCTACCTCAGGCAAGTGTAATTTATAGTCCCGGACTGGTAAAAACGGGCAGCGAATTACATTCTAATTTAGTATTCAAAAATAGACATCGTGTCCTAAAGTAGTAACTGATTCTCGGGAGATGAAATCTTGGTATATGTTTAAGGGACCCATGGAGAAAAAAAGGAGGGGAGGGGGTAGATGGTAGAATTGAAAGACTCCCCTTTATCAAGCATATGTAAAAGGTGACGCTATATTGGGTATACCTTTTTTTTAAATACTTTTTATGTTACTTTACCTTGTTTGTAGCGTCGCAGGTCCATCATCATGTAGCAGGTGCTTTGCAGTACGTCGCTCTCATCACAGTCTGCCTGAAAGAAACTCGGTCTCTCGCCAATTCTCCCGCCTCATGCACTTTCACACTCAAGGTGTCACTTATATTCTGTGCCCATCTTCGTGTCGGTCGGCCCCTGCCCCTCCTTCCTGGTACCATGCCTTCTGCTATAATTTTTTCCAGTCCGTCGTGGCGCTTGATATGACCAAAATATTTCAGTTTTCGAGAACGGATGCTGTTTATTAGTCAATCTTCCTTGATGTTCAGATCTTTTAAGATGTCAATATTTCTCCTCTTCTTTGTCCAAGATATTATGAGAATCTTTCTATAGCATTTCAGCTCAAAAGCCCCTATTCTCTTTCTTAAGGACTGAGACGACGCAGGTCCACCCAGCCTAAAATGGGTACCAGGATGGCTGTCCTGGGGAAGTAAAGACGACCGGCCTAATGCTGACCACAGTTCCCACATAGTGCCGATGGTCTGTACAAATATGGGCGCTCTTCCCATACACCCGATAGGCCTAAGGTCGTGACAAGGGATCTTTACAATACCAACTAATTGAGACAGAAATGTATTGAAAGCAAAGCACTGAAAGAATGTTGAGAAAAGGACCGTGAATCTTTGCAGGCAATCGCGGTGAGAGCAATGATAGAAACAGTTCCTGCTTCTTCATGTTGATTATAGTTGTGTGTTTTTTTTAAATGGCGGAAACAAGGCAGTAACATCAGAATAAATTAAAGGCCCCTTTACACGATAGTGGCGTATCAGGCATTTGAGGCTAGATTCATTTTTTTAAAGACATCGATTGGTGATGTGGTCAACATCAAGCCGGCCGCCTTTGTTTCCAACAGCTTCACCTAGCATCCATTTAAAGGTCCACCTTGGAGCAAAGGTCATTAATTCACTGTCCTGGCGTGCCATTATATGCTACACGTGTCTCGTAATCTATACCTCCATTCCCTTCTATCCTGTGCAGTCAGTTTAGTATCCATCCAGCAGCTTTGGCCTCTCTCATCAGTGTTCGTTTTAGGGTTTCTTCTGGAGTCCTCCTCTCCTAAAGCCCATTATTTCCTATTTTAAAGGATGTATAGTGATTCTCTCCTAGTTTCTTCTCAGAATCTGTCCTTGTTGCGTGCTGATTTGGGAGAGTGTGATATTGTGTGAGGGGACAGAGTGGTATTCTGTGAGTTCACGGGGGAGGGGGGGGGAGGGAGGGAATGGTGTCAACGTGGACCGAGTATTGAGAGGAGAAAATGCTGACCAGTGAAAATGGATTATCATGCACAAGGCGTGCACGCATGGGGAAGTAGACGCGTGGGTTTACTGTGTGGGGGTTGACACTCCTGGATAACGAGACCCACAGAGAAAGGGTGTATTACGTGACAGCTGATTCTTATGTAACATCAGCTACTCACATAAGTGTGATTCCTCGAGAACGCTCCCTTGAGCGTGAGTCTCGAGAAAACCCACATGAGCATGTTTCCCAAGAACACCCACACGAGCGTGCCACTCGTGTAACCTACGAGTTCGACGGAGATAAACTGGGGCTGAGTAGTCAGTCCGAGTAAGTCAGAGTCGAAGAGAGTCAGTCCGAGTCAGTCAGAGTCGAGAGAGAGAGAGAGAGAGAGAGAGAGAGAGAGAGGAGAGAGAGAGAGAGAGAGGGAGGGGGAAGAGAGAGAGACCAAGTCAGGGTCAGTGATTATCTCTCTCGAGTATAACAGACAAGAGTACCGTACAACTATCAGGCATCAAGGCCTGAGTAAGGGTTGAGGTTGCGGTACTGGTCGAAGGTATAGTCCTGCTGGCGAAGTAAGTCCAAGGGGACGGGATGCTCCAATAGTAAGGAGACTTAGAGTCACTACGGAAACAGGACAGTGGGGGATGCTGACGAGAGCTGTGTGCTAGAGGGGACTTATGTTAGAAGTCCTGTCGGTCATCGGAGCCCTTCGACATGCTGACGAGAGCTGTGTGCTAGAGGGGACTTATGGTAGAAGCCCTGTCGGTCATCGGAGCCCTTCGACATGCTGACGAGAGCTGTGTGCTAGAGGGGACTTATGGTAGAAGTCCTGTCGGTCATCGGAGCCCTTCGACATGGCTGACGAGAGGCTGTGTGCTAGAGGGGACTTATGGTAGGGAAGTCCTGCCGGTCATCGGAGCCCTTCGACATTTGCTGACGAGAGCTGTGTGCTAGAGGGGACTTATGGTAGAAGTCCTGTCGGTCATCGGAGCCCTTCGACATGCTGACGAGAGCTGTGTGCTAGAGGGGACTTATGGTAGAAGTCCTGCCGGTCATCGGAGCCCTTCGACATGCTGACGAGAGCTGTGTGCTAGAGGGGACTTATGGTAGAAGTCCTGTCGGTCATCGGAGCCCTTCGACATGCTGACGAGAGCTGTGTGCTCTTGGAGTACGGCAAGGAAGTCCGTCTGAAGTCAACTGTGGCTGTCTGCTGAAATAATATTAAGGTCCAGTGGATATGATAATTCGTCTTATTCAGCTGTACGGCGTGCCCAGAGTTGTGGACGCTAGGCCTTTGGAGCTGTAGAGGGCACGGAAAGGCCGCTACAAGTTGAGAGAGAGAGCGAGTGCTGACTAAATGGACTATGGGCGAATGTCAATTAGGATCAATAGCTACGTCTCTGCAGTTGTGTCATGTAACCTGTTGAATAAAATGTATGACGGAGTCATTGTCGTCGAGTTCTGTTTCTAAAAGAAGAAGCGAAAGTTGAACCTGCTGGACGCTTGGTAGTGTGCTGGCTAGCTGTAGCTCAGTTATCGCACAAGTCCCTTATAGCGGCACTTTCTCGGCCCTATAACCGTTCATATTAGTTGTTGCTCAGATTTTTGTCTTATCTCTTTTTGAATTTACCTAATTTTTTAAATAATTTTGTTCAAGCTTTTGTTTTCGAATGAATTTAACTTTCGTACTATGTCTTTAGTGGTTCTTCATCTTTAATTGTCATATGTTTAAACTGAAATAACATTAGAAATGAAAACGTAACTTGGTTCTAAAAAAAAACTATACAATTGATAGTTCCAAATGTTGTTCCAGCTAAGAAAACTTCTAATGCCTTGCCTAACTCGTGCCACAAGTTCTTTCTTCGTATTTCCTTCACTATCAAAATTACTCCTAAATAATTAAATTGAAATGTTTCTTTTAGTACTTTGTCTCTGGTGTTACATCTGCTTGATCTGTTGTTTGTAATTTCAATATATTTGTCTTTTCATACCTTTTTTTGGTAATCCAAGCCTTGATGCTATATTTGCTAAATCCTAGGTCATGCATGAATAAAATCTGGCTTCATGCGGATTAAAACCCCAGACCTTCGGATCCACACGCATATTGCCACCACACCACGAGAGCTCCTAACCAACGCAGTAATAGAACCTTTTTGACCATCAGTTTTATTTTTCATCGCTACTATAATAGATACTTTATGGTGAGTACTGGTACCCCCTAAATAATGATATGATCTTTAGGCACATAAAAAAAACTACGTTGATAGTAAGGGAATTAATAAGGTCGTGCATTTTGCACATAATCAACCATGGTTATCTCCCGTTGAAAATAAGTGAAGGTCAAAATAAACATGGCCGCCCTGACTCTGAAGTTCTTGTCCAGATCGAAGATTGCGGTTCCAGCTTTCGCTAGAGCTTTTTCTAAATCAGCCAGTCGTCCAGTCGGTGAAGGTACACATTATGATGAACCCACACACACTGGTCAGGTAAATATTTTCATTATAAGGTTTAGTTATGTATGTATTATTAGCTATAGTATTATTATTATAATGAAACACAATTTCGCCATCATAACAATGATGATGATCATTTTTTTACAGTCATGAAATCGTGTTTGAATTGTTTGTTTGTAGTTATTGAACTTCCAATTAAAGTTTTATTTTAGATAATATTTAATTAATTATTCTTCAATTAGCGCATGTTTAGTTTCTGTATTGAAATAATTGTTTATTTAAAGGTAATGTGATTGTCTGGAGAATTCGGCTTTCCTTGCAATAACGGTCGCTAGTTGGACGGCGAAGGCCGCTTCGTCGAATTTCAGTCCCCTGGCTGCTGTGCAATTACAGAGTGGAAAAGAGGGAACGAAACAAATGACATAATTAGGGTTAGGGTTTGGGTTACAAGAACGAGGTCGCTAATGTGAGTCGCAGCGCGTGGTCTAGAAGCCATGTTGAACTCACTTTGTTTTGTGATTCGTGCCTTGTCCACTCCGTAATTGCACTGCAGCCAGGGGACTGAACTCCGACGAAGCGGCCGTCGCCATCCAAGTAGCGACCGTTATTGCAAGGAGAACTGAGAATTCAATATTTACCACCCACACTGCCTACTTACTTCATAACAATAAGATAAGACAATAAGGCATTTACGCCACCACTAAACACGTTTTTTCGTGTCTTTGAAGTAAAATGCCACAGAAACATTCTTAGAATACTGTGGACCAAGAAGAAGACAAACATCGACATCCTGCACGACCTAAACATCAGGGTGAACCTGTTCATAAACAGCATCATCTGAAAAAAAAAAAGAGAACTGATGGAGGGTTCAGTTTCTAGAAAACAAGTAGACAACAAGGCAGAGGTGGATACAGAACAATGTAATGCATTAGCAATGAAAGCACACAGGGCGGGTGAATTGGCTAGAGAAAGGGAGACTTCCAAGTGTGACTAAAGCAAGGTTCTTTAAAGCACATTCTGCTTGACAGACGATAGACTGTCAAAAGGAACTGAGTTTTTGGGATTTCCTCATGTTGGCTCCTTGAGTCACATGATGTTAATCTTTCTTGTTGCAATCCTGCAGGCGGAAAGTAAAATAATATTTTATGTGCTATAACAGTAAAGAGGGTGCTAAAATGTTACATACAACCTGTTCTGCTGTATGGCAGCGAATCTTGGAATGTCAGTGAACAAATTAGGAAGAATTTGGAAGCAACAGAGATGTGGTTTTTGAGATGAATGTTACGGATACCTTGAACGACCAGAGTAACTAACAACGATTGCTTGAAAGAGTCCAATGAAAGTAGATCTCTACATACAACAATAAGAAAGAGACAAACACTGTTGTTTGGCCACGCAATGAGAAGAGAGACATTGAAGAACATCGTGACAACTGGAAAGATCAGTGGATAAAGGGGTAGAGCAGACCAAGAGAGATAGTGCTGGATGGGCTGAAACGATAGTGTGGTGGGATATCATTAAGAGAGCTGTTCCAGGCAACCAGGGGTCGTGATCTGTAAAGATGCATAAGCGCCCACGCCAGCTGGCAGGGCACATGATGATGATGATGATGATTTAACAGTGTTTCTGGGATTGACTTCTCCTAGATTTTCATTTCTCTGGTGGCTCAATGAGTGTTTTTCTTTCAGGCTGCAATTCTTGAGGGGGAAAATAGACAGAAAAGAAGAGTCTGTTGAATTCGTTGTTTACAACACTCTTACCTTAATTCTTACATCTGTATTTATATTTTTTCAGTTATGGGACAGTGATGACTACCGAAATGTCCGCTTTGTGGACAGGGATAAGCTGGTATGATCATGTTTCTTTGTTTCAGTCTTACAACTTGTAACAGTACATCTTTCTTTGACATAATTCACAGAAATCTCAGAGAGAATGAAACAAATTCCAGTGAATCAAGAGTTGAGGAAAACGACGTTGTTTGATAGATTACTGACTGAGAGAACGTGAGAACAGTAGAATGATCTTACACTGGAACCCACAGGGTGAAAGGAACAAAGGCAGACAAAGATGCCTGGAGAAGGATTATGTTAAGTAAACAAAGATGGGGAGGACATGGGGTGACCTACAGATGAGAGCCAAGATAGGAAGACTTGAAGATAAAGGGCACAAAAAATAAAGACACAGAAATCACATTTAAGCAGCATAGGAAGTTAATTTATCATATTGGTTGGCCTTCATCCCTGGGCCCCATTTTGACCCCTCTCCCCCACCCCCCAGTTCAAACCCCCTCAACAAGTGTTTTGTAAAAAGTGACTAATTATAAGCGTTTCATTCCATGTTTGAGTTCATCTGCCTGAGAGGTGAGGAGCCAACATACATACAAATTAGCCAGATCTGTAAAAGAGATGTGCATGCAAAACTCAAGTTTTGGAACAAGATCAAAGTCCAGAAGTTGACGGACAACCAGAATATTCTGCTGGAGTTCACAGCTGATGAGCACTAAGAAGAAGAAGAAGATTGGTAGTCTTTCTAGGTGCTAAAGAAACTCTTGCAATATCAAAAGAGTCTGAAATGTGAGTCACTTACATGTTCTTTTTTTATGTGGGATGACCAGGTCCCTTTCTTGATATTCTTCCCTCCAGATATTTTTTCTAAAATTAAATGTGCCGGTACTGGCCATAAAATGTCTACAGAAGGTACAACAACTTCTACAAAGTGTCTATTACAGTGGCGCTGAAAAATTGATGCCCAAAGAAGGGTGCTGTTACTGCGTAATATTGCATACCTTCAGAAAAAAAGCCTTGCTTCCTTTCCAGAGATATTCCATGAACATTTTTCAATCTGCATTGTACAAGAAGAGTTGAGTACAAATAATTATCCTACAGCTGCTGAAGATTGAACTTGGGATGCTCTGTTGGCAAGCAAGGTCACTAACTTCTTTGCCTCCATTGCATATTTGGATGTGTGAAAGAGGACAGACAAATGAGCAAAAGAAAAATAATCTTTAGCTACAGAAAGAAACATAAGCTTTTCCACCGTAATGTTACCATTTATATAGATATTTAAGAAGTATTCTTTTCTGCTTTGATTTCACTGGCTGCAAACTCCTGCGGAAATCTCTAGTTGTTCATCCACCACTTGACTCAAGATTAATTAATGTAGTTTATATTTTTAGTATACTTTTTCTGATTCTTTACTTCTTGTTTCAATTCACTGGTTGTCAAAAAGGAAACGTTCTCTCTCTTTTTGGCTAGCACAACCATAGACACTTTATACTGTTGTAAGAAAATTTTGTTCTTGGTCTAACATAAAATGTTTTACAAATAAAACACAGTTGATGTGAGAAAGATGAGTGACTGGAAGGGCTGAATGTAGGATGGGCTTGCTTGCCTAGTTTGTGATCCTTTGCAACTGAAGTTTATTCATTCTGTCTACCTCAGGCTCTGTGTTCCACTCCTCTTTTAAACATGCCAGTGGTGGTCAGCCTTTTTAATTTGAAGGTTTTGGCCGCAATTGATACATGCCTTGAATGGTATGGCATCACAAGGTATTCTCTCTAAATGGGAAAATTGTAATGTATTACATTGTTAAAAAATTATTATTAATATTAATTTAATGTTAATTGAGTATCAATTTTGTTCTGATCCTCCCATCCCACTTTCCTTCCTCTCAGATTAATCCATTTTCCTTCCTCTCAGATTAATCCATTTTCCTTCCTCTCAGATTAATCCATTTTCCTTCCTCTCAGATTAATCCATTTTCCTTCCTCTCAGATTAATCCATTTTCCTTCCTCTCAGATTAATCCAAACTGGGCCATTGATCTTATTGCTGAGGATCCAGTAGTGCTTGTCAAGGGACATCAAGTCTGGTCCAACAGTTGTGGAGCTCTTGGCCATCCCAAAGTCTACATTAATTTAGTAAGTACCACTCATGTCGGCGTTTGTGGCTTAGGCATTACGAACGCACTTGGTAATGCCGGGGTGCCGGGTTCGATCCCAGCTGCGGGCCTTGCACCTTGCATTGGTTTCCACAGTGGTATCGAGAAGCCGACTGTCCAGAAAGCAATGTCAAGCTACTGGACGTAAACTTGCCTAGAAAAACCACAACAGCCAAAAAATGATGGGTTTGGTTCTGCAACATCCTGCAAAGGATATGCAACTAACTAACTAACCACTCATGAATGTCACATCAGTGCTGCTGTAGGGATCAGAAATATAAATAATGGCAAAATAGTTGCTAATAAACTTCAAACATTTACTATTTGGTAAACATGCAGGTTAGAAGGAGTAGAAGGCTACTGCAGAATCACAAATACAGTACTAAACAAAAAATTTCAATGAAATCAGAGGTGAGACAAAGATGCGGTCAACTGTTAACCCTTTCATTCCAAGCCAAAAAGCCACAAAACCGACACTTCCAGATTTGTCTATAGTAACCTATGTACGAGATATATAGCTAATGCTAATGGCTGTTTTCACACCTGCGAAAACGTTTAGGAGGTCAGGATACAAAGACATTAACTAAAAATAACATTTAGGGGGGTTACCTTTGAGCCAGATGACTTTTTTAAAGCCAAGTTAACATTAGATTTTCCTCCTGTCAGCCTTGTTGGTAGAGGTCACATTCTCAGACGAGTCACCTGTTAGATGTTACTTTTTTGTCCGGTCTCAGGAGAATGTATTTTCTGTAATGCTTTATACTTTTCTTGATTAGAGGGAGGGTTTAAAATGTAGCAAATAAATTTTTGCAAATTTTTAACAAATTCATTAGTGTTAGTGGACCATTTAAAAATAAAAAATTTCATTGTTATAAATTCCAAAGGGGTTTGACCCATTTTCAGTGTTCCCGGGACGAGTCGGTTAGGACACAATTTTAAAAAAGCTTGATAGTATAATTATATATTCTACTCACTGGAGCTTATAGTACAGAAGAGCGAGGGACACTCAAAACATGCAGGAAAGATAATTATAGACAGGTGATTTAGAGGCGTGGCACATGAATGGAGCTTCGGCAGATAAAGTTCAAAATAGGACAGCGAGGCTTGTGTTGGTTGAGAGCTTATATGGTAATACAGTCTTTCCCCTTTTTAGTTATATGGGGAACGTATTTAAGGGTTCTGTGATTTCAGTTACACAAAAAAAACACTGAAATTTAGAATGCAGTTTTGAATGATTCTAATACAGTCCAGTCTGGATAAGTAGAAGTCACAGGGACCTTAAAAAAATGCTTCCACTTTTCAGGACTTTTAACTTATCCAGACAGCACACACAATAGAGAATGTACACTAAAACTGAGCAGTAGCATTGAGTAAAACAATTATACCATTTAGGAAACAGCGTAATTAAACAAATAAATAGCAATACAATGTCAGAAATGTTGAAATATTTAATAATTTTAGAAGGTAAAACATTGAAACCATATGAAAATATTCAGACATTGATTAAAGAAAATGTTTGTGATTTTGCTTCGCTCTTAAGACTGTGAAAAATATAATGCAATGGCCTGCAGAGGTCTAGCAAGAGGCTCACGGATCGTTGCCAGGTGGTGTAATAATGACTTTTCTATGCTAGGGCTATGTCCTCTGGCCCACAGTGAACCCAATTTTCAAAATTTTGGTCCCTGAGTAAACATAGTTGAATAACCCTAACCCTGTCTTAGGTGGTTCATCATCTCTGACTCCCTTATCTCAACATCTCTGACTCCCTTATCTCAACACCTCTAGAACACAGCACATTCAGTATGTCTGCCCTGTAAGGACGTACTATTAACTTCATCAGACTAAATCTGATTTTTTGTAAATCTGTGTATTGTCTATAGGACAAGCCTGAAATTGCCGTTTGTGGATATTCTGGGAGAAAGTTCATTCAGAAGAAGTACTACGACGAGGCGGTTCATGGACCCAGTATTACGTATGAGGAATATCTAGAGGAAATGAAGAGTGACTCTCGTTGATGTTATGAAATTAATAGTCTGTTTGTCATATATGGTGTATTTAGTAGTGCGGAACTTATAGTTGTGTCTGGTTAAAACAGTTTAAAAATAATTCCTGTAACCGGCCTGGTTTTAAAAAAAACATGATTAAATCAGTGTTGCTAAAGAGACTTTTTTGTTTGTTTTTTAATGGTAAGATATCGTGTGTTAATGCCATCATAAAATTGTTTTATATAATTTCACATAAATTATGTCTGTTATGTTTGCCACTATATTGTCATTAAAATCATACAACAAAATTGACATTTTGGATCTTGACTTTCAAGTAGTCAAGCATTTTGGCTCTTACTCTGGCACCAGTTGTGGATAGATTGACCTGAAAGCCCAGAATAGTAAACAAACACAATAACAAAATCCTATAAGGATTCAAACCAGTGACCAGGTCTAAAAAGGTAAAGGTAAAGTCAGGAGATATGAACCAGCGTCATTGCACACGGTTATAAACCATAAGTGCTCTGCCACCAGTACGGACAGCTATGTGACCAGGTCTGCTAGCTACAACACAACCAGGGCTCCATCATCATCATCATAGAGCATATTGACAAATGGGGACCATCATGATTAATCATCTTACACGATCACCCATTATTAATCAGGTCCTTACATTTTGGTCCTAACTATGCCATTTGGCGAGCCATTGTATCTGTCTCTGTCTTTTAATACATGACAAGGTAGATGTGGTCAAGGCCCTTTGGGAATAAGCAATGGAATCAGTAGAGAAACAAGATTATTTTGGTCTGGAGAGAAAGAGGCACCTGGGTGTAACCAGAGGGTCTGGCCGTCTCACTACACTCAGATGAAAGGCAAGTAAAGTAAAAGTAATTAAAGGACCCTTTTCCATGCCTAAGGCGTATAGGGCTAGACCTGTATTTTTATAGATTAATCGGCACTAGATGGGTGATGTGGTCAACATCACGAGGAAAGGCAAGACGGACATATAACCAGATTGTGATCGGTACCATCAGTGTTGAAACTGCGCTTGCTGCTGAAGATGAGGACGGAGCACACATGCAAATGCCCTGAGTGCTGTAATGTCAATTCTTGACTCAACTCAGTTCAACTTTCTATCTTTTACTCTTTCACTTTGCCAGTAATATCTCCCCACCACCTCTATACTTGTATATACCATAAACACACAAGAGGAAGATGACTGTGAGGAATCTTGTTGCAAAATAGTACCCAACCAGCAGTTCAGAGTAGAAAGATCAAGCAGTCTGATGTCAGTCTGCCACAATTTAAAGGTTAAAGGTGACTGTGATCTGCTGTTTCCTGTTTTTTTATACTTTTTATTTTAGTTTTAAAGCCCCACCTCCCCCTCCTCAAGGACGAGAATCACACAGCCACATATCCCAGAAACCCTGTTCAACCACATGTCCCAGAAACCCTGTTCAACCACATGTCCCAGAAACCCTGTTCAACCACATGTCCCAGAAACCCTGTTCAACCACATATCCCAGAAACCCTGTTCAAACACATATCCCAGAAACCCTGTTCAACCACATGTCCCAGAAACCCTGTTCAACCACATGTCCCAGAAACCCTGTTCAACCACATGTCCCAGAAACCCTGTTCAACCACATATCCCAGAAACCCTGTTCAACCACATATCCCAGAAACCCTGTTCAACCACATATCCCAGAAACCCTGTTCAACCACATATCCCAGAAACCCTGTTCAACCACATATCCCAGAAACCCTGTTCAACCACATATCCCAGAAACCCTTTTCAACCACATATCCCAGAAACCCTGTTCAACCACATATCCCAGAAACCCTGTTCAACCACATATCCCAGAAACCCTGTTCAACCACATATCCCAGAAACCCTGTTCAACCACATATCCCAGAAACCCTGTTCAACCACATATCCCAGAAACCCTGTTCAACCATATAGCACAGATCTATATATTGGGGTACCACACAATGGTTACAAAGTAATGTGTAGTCCAGTGTGGGT